GTGCCCCACCTCGCACTCTCAGCTCCAACCCTGATTCCAGACAGTTCTGAATGGGCTCCCACTTTGTGCTGACAAATCTCGTCTCCAGTGCTCACTGCACATCACTTGCTAACCACCCTGGCTCATTGTGTTCTTGAGGGGGGGGTGCCCACGCAGCCCTGTGCACCAGCAGTCTGAGAGTGTGACACCTCTGGGGGAAGACTCAGCCAGCTCAGAAGCTGCTGGATCAGGGCTTCTCCTGTCAGTGTTCAGGGGACCATTGGAAGAGGCCTCTACCTGCTCCAGGGATCAAGGCCCAGTTGCTCCCAGCATGACCAGCTTGCTAACATATCCTTGTTTTGGCTTTTTCTTCTCCTGGTTTCTCACTCTTGTTCCCTGGGATCACCTTCCAAATAAGCCACCTACCCACAACTCCCTGAATCAGGTTCTTGCTTCTGGGGGGACAGTCTAGGCTAAGACCGCACTTACTACCTAACATTGTAAGCTTATCTTTATTCATTTATTTACTTGCTCATTCATTCAGCAAATACAAACCATCTAATATGTGCTCTTGGTTGCGGGACTGTAGGAGTGAGCAAAAGAGAGGAAGTATTCATAGATCTTCTACTTTATTTGTAGAGAGAGGCAAGAGCAAAAAACCAAATATGTCGTATAACTTCAGATAGTAAGTGCTCTGATGGAAAAAAAGCCAGGGGTAGGGAGGGAATGGATATGGGGAGGATACTTGAATAGGATGGTCAGCAAAGACCTCCCCAAGGAGGCTGCATTTGAGAAGACACTTGAATAAATGACCCAAGGTGGAAATGAGCTTGAAGCAGGGTAGGCAAGGGGGAGAGTGCAGGAGGTGGTGTGTGTTGGGGGTTGGGCAGATACTAACTCGATGGGACTCTGCTTCTCATGTGGACCAGGAGCAAAGGAGAGGGCTTTCGGCTGGGGTATAACATGACCTGAATTGTATTTTATAAAGATCATGCCGGCTGCTCTACTAGATTAAGCATACTATATGAATCACACGCTACTAGACCAAGGCAGCAGGCGTGGAAGCAGAGGGTCAGTAAGGGGATGGTCAGCAGCATCCTGGTGGCATTTAAAGGCTTGGACTGGGTGATTCCATCTAGGGGCAGTGGGGAGAAGGGCAGAGTTTAACAGACATCAGATCATCAAGTTCTCTAAAGGAGTGACCTTCACACGTCAGTGTGCATGGGGGTCACTTGTGCCTGATCACCTGTAACCTGTTTACTGAAGCAAGACCCTGGGAATTAGCAATCAGCGCTTCCTGGCCTTGAGGAGACGCTCAGGAAGAGAAGCACCCCTCAGATGACTCTGATGCAGGTGGTCCTTTGCGAACTGCCCTTGGGGACAGGTAGGTGGGAGTGTCGGGCAGTGGAGGGCAGGGAATACTACCAGGGTCACGGTGACCAGGCAGCAGGATCCTCAGGAATGTTTCTCTCCTCTCCAGGGCCATCATGAGGCCCTGACGTCCGTCGACTCCTCCTTCCCTGTGTACGTAGAGCTATATGGGTGCGGCACCCTATACCCAGCCCTCTGCCAGTCATGTACCAGTCTGCTCCGGAGCTTACCAGCTCTACAGCTCAGCCGCCCCTTTGGGGTGGGCTGCAGCACTAACGGGGCTCCTGGCTGGGGTCTGCAGGATGGGGGCCGAGCACAGGCACGGCCCCTGTCGCTCTACGGGGAGAGTAGCCTGCTTGTCCTCGAGGCGGGGGGTCAACACGTGAGTATTCTTCCTGCAGCTGGGTGGCAGGGGGCGTGGCTGTCGCCAGATCCGTGTGCTCATTTCCACACGCAGGTGTGAGCTCTCCCATCCGGCGGGTCAGCGTGAGTACATCTGAACCCCTCCAGTTCTGAGCCCTCCCCTGTTGCCAGGCCTGCCTCACCAATTGCCGGAGGACTTTTTCCTTGGGTGACTTGTCATAGGGAGCCAGAACTCGCCACCTCCCCTCTCCCCCCACACGACGTCTCCCTTCCACGTGCGTGTTTCACTTTCCTCCAGCTCCATGTTCGAGTGGGATCAGTGCCTCTTTCACTGCAGCCTGCTATGGAGTCTTCCCTGCGCTCTCTGCAGAACGCCTTTTGAATCTATCACCTGCTCTCCATTCCCGCTGTCCCTGCTCAGTGTTGTCATTGGATTGGATTACCGTTTAAGCCTGTTGTGGACTGAATGTTTGTGTCCCTTCCAAATTCGTATGTTGAAGCCCAGACTCCTAATGCGACGGTATCAGGAGGTGGGGCCTTTGGGAGGCTATTAGGGGTTAGATGAGGTCATGAGGGCGGGGTCCCCATGATGTGATGAGAGTCCCTTATAGGAAGAGGAAGACGGGCGCCTGTGTGGCTCAGTTGGTTGGGTGGCCAGCTCTTGGTCTCAGCTGAGGTCATGATCTTGGGGTCCTGGGATCGAGCCTTGCATCGGGGCTCCTTGCTTGGTGGGTAGCCTGTTTAGGGATTCTCTCTCCCTCCCCCCCCCCACTTCCCCCTGCTCAAGGGCGTGCTGTCTCTCTCAAGTAAATCATAAAAAAAAAAAAAGGGAAGAGAGACCAGGGTGCTTGCCTAGCTGGAGCTCTCTCTCTTTACTACTCCTCCTCTCTTCTCCCCCTCCCCTCTTCCTCCCATGAGCACAAAGGAGAAGGGGGCCTTCTGTAAGCCAGAAAGAGAGCCCTCACCAAGAACCAAATTGGCTGGCTGGCACCTTGATCTTGGACTTGCAGCCTCCAGAACAATGAGAAATGTGTCTTGTCGATGGTATTTTGTTATGGCAGCCCGAGCAAACTAAGACAGCTTCCTCTGCACAGTTTCTCCGCATCTCGTCTCCGTTCCTTGTTTTCCCATCTTTAGTTCCTTTCATGGCACTCACCGCTGATTGTAAAGATGTATCTGCTAGTCTGTTAGCTTCATAGCCAGATAGCCGCCTCCATGGAGCTGCACCTCTTTTGTTCCCTCTGGACCCAAGCCTGGGCACTTAAAAATGTTTTTTGAAGAAATGCTGACTACATGCACCTCCAACCAGGTCTCCCTACATCCTGCCTCGTCCCTTCTGATTCATGCCTTATGCTTTGATCAGGGTTAGCTTTGTAAAACGCTAATTCCAACGACCCAACCCTTCCTTGTCAGAGTGTTTATTGGGTCCAACCCCCCCCCTTCCCCCGCTGGGTCGAATGTTTACGGGAGCTAGGTGAACTTAAGATCAAGCTGATAGTGAGGAAGGGTGCTGTGAATCATTAATAAAAATGCATTTAATTTCAAATTATGGATGTGCTTTAAAAGTAACCCTGGGGCGCCTGGGTGGCTCAGTTGGTTAAGCGACTGCCTTCGGCTCAGGTCATGATCCTGGAGTCCCAGGATCCAGTCCCGCATCCGGCTCCCTGCTCAGCAGGGAGTCTGCTTCTCCCTCTGACCCTCCCCCCTCTCATGTGCTCTCTGTCTCTCATTCTCTCTCAAATAAATAAATAAAATCTAAAAAAAATAATAAAAAAAACCCCCTGAAACCTGCGAGCACTACAGGAAACGGATGAGTCATGCCTCCCACTACCTGGTGTCCTCTAGGTTGGGGCTACATAAAGTCAGCCCTCGCTGCCTGAACCTGTCTCTCACGGCCACCAGCATGCTGTCCCCGGCGGACACAGCCTACGGCGCCCCTGTCTCCGCTGTCCCCACGCGGGGCTCTGAGAGCTCCCACTCAGCAGGGCAGTGAGCCCCCTCCGTGACCGTGTGTATTCTGGGATAGTGTGTTGTGTGCCTTGCAGGGAGTAGAGATCTTCGGGGAAGACAAGGCAGACTCCTTGATACAGCTATTTAGAAAGCTGGGAAAACACAGTTCAATAGAAATTTCCTCTTCAGTCAACGTTGGTCCATTTCCCCTCTCTCCTTACTAAGAGGAAGTTCCGTTAGCTCATAGAAACCCAGAATCACACATTCCTCAGCCTGGAAAAGCCCTCGAGGGAGATTACTCAGTTTAACAACAAATGGCCTTCTGTGGGGGCACTTGAATCCAATTCCCAAAAAGCCGGTGAGCGTCTCAGCACCACCTGTAGGAAGGACTCTGTTTCCCCCACAAGCCCCGACTGGGCCCGGCAGGAGACCCAGCACAAAGTCCTGTTCATGCTTCCCGAGGGAAGCAGGTGAGGCCTGCAGCAGAGCCCACATCCTCAGACTCCGTTTTCCCAGCTGCTCTGTGTTTGCTCTCTTGCCGGCCCCGGTTGCTGATTCCTCTTATTCTCTCCGTCTTCGTATTCACCTCTCTGCTACTCTCCACCCAACGTGCCTCAAGGGACTTTTCCTGGGGGCAGAGGCCATCTCCAACACTCATTTCCAGGAGACCCCACACCTCTTAACCAATAGGACAGGGAGGCCTCCGGGGCAAATCAATTTGATCGGTTCCAAATGGCGTGATATTAGTCAAGTTCTCTGAAGATGATAGAATCGGTGCTTCCCGGAACTGGTTATTTCCTCAGAATGAAACGGGGAGAAGCATCGTTGGAGATGACACAGAGGAACGGGGATGAGGTGTCCCCATTCACGTCGGGGATCCAGGATGGGACAAAGCGCAAAGTGCATTGGAGACTCTGGCCAGGGCCCTGAGTTTGCTCCACCCGCAGGGCTGAGCTTGGGGAGAGACTCAAGCCCACGTGTGGCTTTTCGTGGAAAGAGCAGGCTGCTCTCAGAATCAAATGCAGATGGCTTCCGCACTTATGAGAAGCACCCCTGGGACGCACCTCCACGTCAAGAAGGGCGGGTGACAGAGCTCCAGGGAGGTCTGGTCTGGTCTGTTTTCCAACTGGCCAGACGCCACACTCAAAACACTGTTATCCATACCCATTACATACTTCATGTTAGCGTGAGGACTCCTACCTGTGTCTGTCTGACTTGAGCCCGAGTCTTTGGTCGTGCTCAAGCAACATCACACATCTTGTTATCAACCTCAGTTATCAACAACTTGAGGCTTCCACCAGTCACCGTTTTTGATCAGAAATTTGACTGGTTTCACATGATTCCTGAGGTCCTGACAATTTATTGAAATAAAAAACATGCGTCTCTGATTTAGAGAGCCTTGCGTGCAAGGCACATTCAGACCCACCGCCTCGGAGCCTCACACCCCTGTCCATTGAACACGGCAGGTGTGGCTTTCTTGTTTGACAGACGAAGAAACCGAGACCCTTCAGTTTACAGATGAGGAGATGCAAGAAACAGTGGAGTCAGAACGAGAACCTCCAGGTTCTTGAAACACCCAGAATCCTTGCACTGTACCATGCTGCTTCTTCAATAAATAAGTGAACAAAATAAATAAATAAACCTTCCAAGGGAACCCTGAGGAATCTTCCCACAAGCCCAAGTTTTGAGAGGGAGTTCAGTTAGCAGACTGGCACATCAGAGCTTCTGGGTAGGATGTGGTGGGGGAGTTGGGGTGGTTCTGGGTGGATTTCCTGAGCTGGAGTGTCTCTTCTCAGAATGCCACAGAAAAATGCAGGGCCGAGTGGTGACCTGGAAGGGGGGGGGCGGGCAGACCCCAGGCCTGTCACTCCCCCCCCAGCTTCCTTGCCCTTGGACTGTAAACTCGCTTTGAAGATAGAATCCAAATGGACTATGGGGAGGCAGGGCCTATACTTGTCCCCTTCCTGGGCCCAGGGTCGGGTAGTCCTCTTCGCATGACACCATGGACTTCTGCTAAGTCTGTTAATCCCCAGCATGCGAAAGAAGTTGGCTCTGTGCAGATACAGGTTCTGCAGGCAACTTCCTCCCAGCCCAGGGCCACACCAGGCTGGGGATGCCACCCCTGATGCCCGCTTGGTTACCATCCAGCATGGAGGGCCCCCTGGAGACTGAGTCATTATTCCACATATGCTGTCAGAGGATAACAGGGTCTCTGAGAAGTGGCTTGGCCCAAGCTCACACAGCTGGACACAGCATGGGTCGGAGCCCAGTGCCGTGTCCCGTGGGTCTGTAGCTGGACGCTAGCAGTAAACAGTGTAGGTCCCAACCCTGACCGTCTGGGGTGGGCGAGCTGGTGCCCAAGCCCAGAGACCACCTGAAGTGTTGAATTTTGCCCAATACAAAGAACCGTGGTTTCTCTGCTACCATCAGCAAGATGGTGGGGGCAACAGGGTGGAGGTAGTGAGTGGCTCGGCCACAGGGGCTTCATCCCCTGGTGGCTCTATAACCATGGTGGTAGACTGACTGACCAGGACAGATACATTGTAAGATCTTCCGTGACAAGCTCCCTGCCTGGGAGGACTGCCAGCCGGGAAGCTTCTTCCTATGACCATCCCAGGCTGACCAGCTCTGACCATGCCAGAGATCAGACTTGGTCTCTGCTCCCTCCTTTGTCCTCCTAGAAATGGCCCCTTCAGGGAAACTGCCCCGCCCAGCCCTCCATCCGGCTGGAGGCGCTGGCACTTGGCGGGTCTAGGGGGGAGGCCTGGGTCCTTACTGACTGCAGCTTGGGCCTCCCCACACTTCCAGAAAACCAGTGATTCCCCTGAGCAAATAATCTGTTACAGTACAGGAAGAGCCCGGAGGAGGGAGGAGACCTCCGCCCGGCCCTGCGTGGCTCTGCCTGAGTCTTTGGAGCCCTCCTGCAGCCCAGGCCGACGCCACCCATACAGCCTGTGGTAGTTCAGCAAGAGAGTCTCTCTCTGCCCCGGGCCCCTTGGGCAGCCCTGCTGGGCCTGCCGATGAGGGCTCACACTGGCCTCGTGCGTCACTTCTGACCCCGGGGGGCCCTCGTGGCTGAAATCAAAAGCAGCCCCTTAGCCTGAGTCACTCATTGGAGTGGAGGCTGGAGATCAGTGGCAGGGTGACCAGGTTTGAGTCGAAACTGCCCAGGAGACCGCCTGGGGCTGCCACACAGTCCACAGGGGCAAGATCATGGGCCAAGCTCCAGTCAGATGCTCCTAGGTCAGCACAGCTGGTCAAGCCCAGGAGTGACCATTCCTCCGTCGGCTGGTCCCACTGTCCAGTTGAGGTCCCCGAGGTAGTGACAGTCATTCCCGGGTCCTGTTTCAAATAGCCCTTGGCCAGCACTGGTGGAGACCAGCCTGCCTCAGCATCCAGGCACGTCCTGAACCTGGGGCCAAGGCTGGCTGTCAAAGAGGACTCTTCCTCCAGGCAGCCTGTCTTGGCTGCTTTCTCCTCTGTGCATCTGGTCTGCTTCAGGTAGCCCCGGAATGCCACTGAGGCTGGGTCTTCTTCCCCAGGCCCCTCAGGCCCGGGGGCATTGGCAGGGCCCAAGGCGGAGCCACTCTGCCCGTCCCCAGGCTGCCCCTCAGAGTTCTGGACTAGGCCAATGCCACTGTCATCCTGGCCCGGGCTGCTGTCCCCCACCCGCTGCTCCCAGCTGGGGCCAGTGCCGGGACTCAGGCCGGGCTCCTGCAGGCAGATCCCGCTGTCCGTGCTGCTGCTGCCGCCGCCCTCCAGCTCCGGGAGCGCCCCCTTGCCCGCGGTGCCGCCAGCCTGGGGGTGGGGGGCAGGGAGGAGGAACTGGGGCTCTTCATTCTGCAGGGATGGCTTGGCACTGCCAAAGCCACTGTCCGTGCTGCCGTGCAGTTCCGAGTTCTTCAGCTCTGGGGACACTTTGGGGCAGGCCTCCTCGTCCAGGGGATGGATGGTGTCCTGGGGCTCGGGGCAGGGAAGCCGGCTGACAAAGCTGGAGGCCTGGGGCTTCTTGAAGACCTGGAGAGGAGAGGGCAGAGTGAGAGAAGTGAGGGTTACCTGCGGGGACCCGCTCTGGCGCTGCAGGCTTGGCCCTGGGGCCAGGAGGCGGGCTCGAGAAGGTTCTGCTCTAACCGAGGAGCCCACAGAGTCACCTGCACTTTTTGTTTCATTTCAGAATCGACCTTTCCTCTTAGTGCGATTCTCAGTTTGGCTCAGGCCTGCACGCTCGCAGCCCAGATGGAACGGCAGGCAGAACGGGAGCCGGCCGGGAATGGTGAATGTTCTCAGCCCCAGCACAGTCCTTTCCAAACCTGAGAGCAAGCCGGACTCATCTAGATAGATCTAGGAGTGTGTTTCAAACTTTTTTGGACTATGATCCCAAATAAGAAATGTGTTCCATGATTGCCTGTATATAGATATCCCATAAACTGAAAGCAGTTTCACGAAAGAGTACGTTTTACTAGCCGGGTACCGTGGTCTACACTACTACTCTCTCCTATTCTGCCCCTGTTCTAGTCTATCCTACCCTGTCCTATCCTGTCCCCTCCGTTATCCTCGCTTGTCCATTTCATTTTTTAAAATGCTGGATGTGAGACACAAAATTAACTTCTCCAAAGTTCACCAGATTAAGTGACTTGCGCAAACACAGGGTGGCTGCCACGTGGGGCAGTGGAACGAGCACAGAATTAGCAGCGGGGGAGGAGCTGCTCCCCACGACCTGCCAGGGGTCCCAGGGAAAGCCCCTTAATCCCTCTCCCCCTTGCTGTTCCATCTCAGCCACACTGGGGTTCTTCCTGCTCATGCATCAGCTCAGTGCTCTCAGGGCCTTTGCACATGCTACGCCCTGTGGTGGGAACACTTCTTTCAGCACTTGCTCTGGCTGTGTCGTTCTAACATTCGGGTCTCAGCTCAGATGTTTCTCCCCAGAGAGGCCTTCCCGATCATCCTGGCTAAGGCAGTGCTGCGACCCTCTCTACATTCACCTCGTTTACTTCTTCCTAGCACTTGGTTCCTGAAATTCTTTTTAAATTTATTTTCTGCCTCCCACCACAACCTGCTCTCTAGCCGCACTTACTCCCCACACCCAGCAGAATATAAGCTTCTTGAGGACAGGAGCTGTCTAGTTTTGTCTGCCACCCTGTTCCCGGAACTTAAACTGAGCTGGCACATAGGAGGCTCTCTTAAAGTTTGTTGACTGACTTACTGACTCAGCACACCTGCCCTCATTCCCTTTGTAAGTCTGGACTCGAATGCAACTCTTAATTGGTTGAGTTCCTATGAATATCCCACAAGTTGGGGATTAAGGATCATCTGTTTCTAGAGCCAGACTGCATGGTTCATACCCCAGTTCTGCCTTGTATCAGCTGTGTTGCCTTGGCTGAATTATTTGCCCTCTTTGTGCTTTAGTTCCTCGCCTATAAAACAGAAATAGTCACAGTACCGGCCTCCTCGTGTTGTAGTTAATGCACGGCAAGTGCTCAGAACAGTGCCTGGCACAGAGAAAGCACTCGGTAGATATTGGGCACATTGCATTTTACTCTCCAATCTAAGGAGAGAATCGAACTTCAGAGAAGTGAAATGACTTGCACAAAGTCACAGCGGCAGAGAACAAACCTGCGATTTGTATTCCACTGTCCTGATCTGAAATCCCCATTTATCCAAAGAGCAGATCAGAACAGCGCATGAGTGGGAATAAGCATATGAATGTGAAAGTGCTCTGTGCACTCGAAGTTATTCATGAAGTTAGTAATGACCACCATCATTAGATGAAGCCAACTGGGCTGCATTTATCTTGAGAAGGAAAACATTCTCAAGGAGAGCTCACTTCTGTGATCCAAATGGCACAGAGGAACGAAAACCCAGAGGCTGCGTTGTCTCCTTTGGCATTTTGCACCTGTGCCTATTTCCCTGGCTTGCATTAGAAGTAATAGATTCTACGCTGGCTGCCCTACCGGGCTGTAATCAAGCCCCTTGGGACCAAGGGCTGCATGAATCAGCTTCTTCCCAGACCACATGTGGCCTGTCATTGGTGCTCAGTAACTGTAGCTCAACGGCCACTTCACTGATCTCTTCCTAGATGCTCTTTCTGACGCCCACCGAGGAATCCCTGCTCCAGTCACCAGGACCAGCCTCCCCCACCCCTCTGCTTTCTCGTCATCCGTCCCTGAGCGCAGCCCCCATCCCGGTTCCAGGCCCTGCGTAATAGAACATGCTCAGAGCACTTGTTAAACAGGCCGATGCATACATGTTTGTGGAACGGAATCTCCCCGGAGCACAGAGAAGGGACAATGAGTTATATACTTCAGTTAGACACAAGAAGAACTTTTTAATCCTGTAAGACTCCTCGTCATACCACTCTACCCAGGGCACTGGAGCTAGGAACACAGTCCTTTGCTGCCGGACAAAGACCCTAATTAGGCCAGGCGGTCCCTTCTCTCCCCACATCCCCACTCCCTAGAGTTCTTACTCAGCATAATTCCAGAGGGTCTTTGTCTCTCTCCTTATTTTCCTAGAAATCCTGGCATCCCTCTTGGGGGGGTAGCCCCCCCAACGGAAGGTCCTCCCCGGTGGAGCCGGTTCTTCCCAGCAGAGCCCGCGGCCCTCACAGTGATGGCCGCTGCGGGGATGTGGCGGCAACCTCCAGAGCAGCCTGAGTCCCAGGCGGGCCAGGCAGAGGTTTGGACCTGCTGCCCAGTGCTGCGAGCTGCATTCTGGAGGCTGGCTAAGCACAAGTGCACCAGCTGCCCGTGCCGTGTGGCAAGAGGAGATGCTCTGGGCGGGGGGCAGAGACCCCGGCCACCCCACGACCCCTCCTCCTGGGCAGCAGCCCTCGTTCTGCTCCCTGCTGCTCTGGCAGTAGCCCTAGGCCTGGGCTCCCAGCCGCGTGTTCCTCCTCTTCTGGAACACTCATCATCACCAGCTGGCAGGGCTGGGAGAGACTGGGCTCTTCCTGACTTCTCCTGGCTCCCTGGCCCCCGTGCACGGAACAGTCGCTCCATGCCTCAGTTTCTTCCCTTGTAAAATGAAGATAATAACCCCACCTGCTTCAGAGGTACTGATGCACAGGGGCTGGCCCATGGCCAGTTGTTAGTAAATAGTAACAAAATGGCACGTGGGGGGTTGGGACTACTCAGTATGTGTCTTATCGGGGGCCCTTAGAAGGCAGTGTTCTCAGCACTGGGCTTTGCATTTAAGCCCTCCCTCTGTCCCCACGGTCCTTGATGAAGGGGCCTCCTGATAATGTCAGGGCTGAGGGAAGGGACTGTCTGGGAGGGAGCCCCCCGTCTCCTGGAGTCTTGGTATGGCATGGAAGGAAGGATGGGCCAGTGGCCCCCCCCTCCCCTGAGACTCACCAGGACGGTGGGCAGCTTCCTCCGGCGCCGCACGTACAGATGGAGGGCCAGGCAGTAGGCCAGGGCTCCGCACAGAAGCAGGACGAAGGTGAAGAAGATGCTGAGGTTGGTCGTGGTGAAATCTGCAGGCCCAGAGAGATGTGTCTGTGGCCTGGATCCCAGGAGCCCACGGCCACTCTTAGGAGCCACTCAGTCAGCGGCCCCCGGTGACCCCCTCTAGGCCACAACCAGATGCTTCTGGATCCTTGGAAATCCCTGCCTGGCCTTCCAACCTCTGTCCTGAAGAGATTCCCTCACTAGACCCAGCGACTCTGCCTCCAGCTCTGCACACAACTCACACCACAGCACGTGGAATGGGGGGCAGGATGGGACAGCAGGTAAGAATGGAGGCCTGGCGCCAGTCCCAGCTCCACCACTGACTCAGCCGCTCTGAGCCTCAGTTTCCCCATCTATAAAATGGGAAAAATAATAGTGCCTACCACATGATTGTGAAGTACACAGCACACCTCCCTTAACTTATGTTACCTGATCCTTATAACAACCCTAGGAGGTGAGTACTATGATCATCCCTATACACAATAGGATCCTGGGGCCTAGAGAGTTTATGTAACTTACCCAAGATCATAGACCTCGTAAGTGGTAAAGCTGAGATTTGAAGCCAGACCTGTCCACAAAACTTAGTTCTTCTACCAGTGAGTGAATGTTAAAAATGCTCTTAAGGCTGCCCGACACAGGGATGGTGCCTTAACTCTGCTTAAATGAGAGTGAGGCTAAATGACAATGAACTTGTGAGTGTCCTTCATGAACTGAAATGTAGAAATATAAGGAGTCACTCTGGGCTTTGCTGGGCCTTGCTGGCCTGGCATGACTGGTTGGGGCATATGTTGCCCTGAGTTGCTATTTACAGCTTCCTCTGGGCACGCCCTGTCTCCCCAGCCAGACTGTAAGAGCCTCATGGACAAGACCATGGCCTTCACATCCCAGGTCCTCTCCCCTCCCTCCTTTCCCTCCCGTCCCCAGCACCTGCGGAGAGCCTGGCTTTAGCAGCTCTGGCAGGGGTCAGCTCAGTCCCAATGGGGAGGGGGGACAAGGAGAAGGCCCTCTGTGCCCAGCCTCAAGAAAAGACAGCAGAGGGATGTAACAAACAGGAACTACCACAGCTGACAGAGCGGGCCTGGGGCAGGGAGGGGGGAGGGGAGCGGTTCTTGGGAAGCACAGCTGTGCTCAAGCAGAACACCAGCACCAGCAGAATCAAGAGACCTGGCTCTGCCTCCGTGCCCTAGAAAGCTGTTCAGACCCACAGAGCCTCAGGTCCCGCATCTCTAAAATGGGGACAATAGGAGCTTTCTCACAGGGCCATGTGGGGGAGTGCCCCTGGCATCAGTGGTCCTCAACTGATGCTTTTTGGATCGTGTGAGGCCCTTCCTGCCTCCCGCCCCCCAGACAGCAGCCCCAACCGCAGACTCACACTGCTGGGTGAGCACGACGCACTCCTCCTTGGACCATACCCCCTTGTTCAGGCGGGAGCTCACAGATGGCTTCACCTTGACACAGAACTCTCCCAGATCTCCAGGGGGTGAGAGGATGAAGTTTTCATGCTTCACCTTCTCCTTTGTGAACTGAAACAAAAACAACAGCAATAAACAAAATGTACCCTTGATTCATGGACCATGGAAGCTGAGAGTGGGGGAGCCATCAGAGATGCTCCAGGCCACCCCCTTCAGTGTCCTTTCCCTGACATGACAAACCCAGTATTATCAACGCAGCCCAAGATCTCTGTGATTTTTTTTTTTTTTTTAAGATTTTATTTATTTATTTGACAGAGAGAGACATAGTGAGAGCAGGAACACAAGCAGGGGGAGTGGGAGAGGGAGAAGCAGGCTTCCCGCGGAGCAGGGAACCCGATGTGGGACTCGATCCCAGGACCCTGGGATCATGACCTGAGCCGAAGGCAGACGCTTAACGACTGAGCCACCCAGGCGCCCAAGATCTCTGTGATTAACATGACTTATTTTGTACAAAAAGAGAAAAGGAACATTTTATAGTCGCTGAGGACCTTCCTAGAAGGGGCTGGTATCAAATGGTGGGAAGAGGATGGATCTGGCAGATTCCAGATCTCCCACTTAGGGGGTGTCCGTGGGCAATTACATAGCCTCTTGGAGCCACATTTTCCCATTTATAAAATGGAATAAAATATCCACCTGCCAGGGGATCAGGAATAATAGCTACTAAATGTCTTGCGTGGTGCCTGACACTAGTGGGCCATGTCTTCCCTGCCGCCTGGCAGGAGCACAGATTTGAGGGCTGAGGTCATCTCAGCTCCCTCCCCTGCCCCACGCCCTCCCTCTCTACTCTGCCAGCAAAGTTCCCCAGGGGTGCATAGAAGGTACTTCCAGCCCCGCCGACGAGGAGGCGCAGGGAGCCCACTGCGTTACAAACACAGGTGTCCTGTGGCCCTGGGGAGGCCCGTACCGTGTAGTTCCCCGGCACCTTGCGAATCTGAATCTCATACTCGCGGAAGTGTTGGAAGACGCTTTCGTAAGTGTCGCCCGCAGGGGCTAGCTTGGGCCTGGGGGGCTGGATCTTCCCGAGGATGATGCCCTTGTGCACCTCTAGCTTCACGCTGCCAATCGTCAGAGTCACTGGTGGGGAGGCAAAATGATGAGGACTGCAGGCTGGGGAGGGCCTGGGTGCCCTGCCCATGCCTGGCCTCTAGGGTCAAGCTTTACCCACCCTAAAACCCGGGCCACCGCTTTCTCAACCTGGCAGCACGTAAGGACTTCCTGGGAAGTACATTACAAATACAGATGCCCCGGGTCCACTCAAGACACAGTGAACTTGAATTTTTGAAGCTGGGCCCTGGACACGTTGAATTTTTTTTTTTTTTTTTAAAGATTTTTATTTATTTATTTGACAGAGAGAGACACAGCGAGAGAGGGAACACAAGCAGGGGGAGTGGGAGAGGGAGAAGCAGGCCTCCTGTCGAGAAGGGAGCCCGACGTGGGGCCTGATCCCAGGACCCTGGGATCAGGACCTGAGCCGAAGGCAGACGCCTAACGACTGAGCCACCCAGGTGCCCCTGGACACATTGATTTTTAAACACATTCCTCAGGTAATGTTTCTGTAGCCAGCTAAGCACTGGCCTGCGGGCAGGCATTTGGGAGCCAAAGACCTCAAAGGCCATTGGTTCTGACTCTGAATTTTGCAGAGCAGGCTCACCACACTCATACAGAGCATGGTCAATTCCAATTCATAGAATGGCAAAATCCCATCAAGTCTGGGGCTTACTCTTTTCTCTTATGTCTGCTGAGAGAGACCCCCAACCCTTCTTCAGGATCCAATTCTGCCTACTGTTTCTTGCTCTGTGCTGAGTGCTTTTGGATTTACTTCCTCTTCCAGAACCCTACAAGTACACAGGTCTGGCCCTTGTGACTCAGCTGCTCCAAACCACCCCAAGACTTCTCTTCTGTAGGATAAACAACTCCAGTTCCCTTTTAAATCTTGAACAACTTGGCTATTTTCATCTAAATCTTCCCAAAAGTCCTGATTAGTTATTTGGGCAACTAGGTCCTCACCCGGGAAGCCCGGCTGGGTGGTGAGCTACGGAAACAGAGTCACATTCTAGACTAGAGTTTCTGGCAGGAAGGAACCCCCAAAGCCATATTCTAGGCCCAGGGGAGGAAAAGCACCTTCATCCACGGAGAAGCGGGTGTTGGTGAAGGTCCAGTTGGAGTACTGGTTTCCATCCACCGTGCGGACCTTGGCTCGGTAGCCATTGTTGTGGTACAGGTCCAGGGTCACCACAGTGAGATCACAGAACGACACCTGGGTCTGGCTGCAGCTGGGGATGGACTTCCAGGGTTCTAGCCCATACCTGGGGAGATATCAGGCAAGGCACTAGTAGAGGAACTTGCGTTCAAACCCACCTCCTTTAAGAGGAAAGCAAGGGGCCCAGGGAGAGAGCTCCCATGAGGTACAGCCTGCAGCGTATGTTCTCTGGTCCCGGGCATCTAACTGCAAGAGGATCTCTCTTGGCTCTGGGACTGCATACCAGTTTCTCTTAGATTGGAATATCTAACAGATCGCCAACTCCTCCAGGAAGACTTGCTACCCACTGCAATACAACCTGACTTCTCAGGCTTTCTCCCAATTACATTTACAGTCCGTTAGGGTTTCCTTGTTTCCCAATTATATTATGGATGCATTTCTTGTTTCTCCAATAAGATGGAAAAAACTTGAGGGAAAAGGAAATACTTTGGCTTTCTCATCCAAGAGCTCCCAGCACACGGCTCAACACATATGGGGATCAATCAGTACTTGTCAACCGATTAATATATACCAGGGTCCTTCCCGGTGTTACTTCAATAACAAGACAGCTATGTCTTCCCATGCCAGGGAAGTGAAGGAGATGGGTTGCCCCCTCCCGCACCCACCTCCCTCCTTTCTCCATCCTCCCCTTTCCATACCTCAGAAGCTCTACTTCATAGTAGGTGCTGTTTGACGGTTTCGGGATGGGAGTCCAGTGGAGGACATGGGAGAAAAATTCTGCTTCAAACCACACAGATGGAGGGCTGGGCAGATCTGTCCCTGGCGAGAAGAGTGTCAATATCAGAGCTCGCAGAGCCCTCCTCCAGCAATGAAGATGTCGACGGTGATGGTGGCCATCATCCTACCAGCTTCTATTTATTGACTACTTTACTGTGAGCTGGACTCTCTGCTAAGTACTTTACATATGTTCTTTCAGTTAATTCTCAACACCAGCCCTACAGGATAGACATTTATGGCCCTAATTTTACCGGAGAAGAAATAAGGGCTCAGAAAGGTTGAGTGACTTGCCCAAGGCCAAAGGAGCTAATAAGGGGCAGTGTGAATCCTCATGTGTCTGATTCCAGAGCTAGTGTTGTATCCTTAGATCACTGTCTGTGATCAGAAACAGAAGTGGTGGCTAAGAAGAGCCAAGGGGAGTCTGATGTATCTCCGGAGAGAAGGCATGGGCTGAGAGCTAAGGTCTCATTAGCTAAGCTAATGTCTGTCAGCAGTGAGCTCTCATCTCAGATGAGCTAGTCCCTGTCCTTGCTCCAGCCTCATCCCAAGGCTGGCCCCCATCCCCAGCCCTGGTCCCTACCCTGGCCCCAGCCTTGGCTCCAGCCCAAGGCCTCCTCTCTGGAGTTCTTGGGGATACACAGATATCCTGCTTGTTGGCATCTGCCTGTTTCTCTTCACAGGTCTCCTGGGCAACCCCAAAGCTGAATGCTTGCCCCATTCCCCCGCGTCTAGCAGGGCTGTAGGCTGGGTGAGGACAGACAGAATGAAGCAGGTCTGGTTCCAGATCGTGCTGACATTTCCACACAGAGCCAGCACCCTTGGCTCTGCAGTGAGATACTACAGACCGCTGTCTAACTCCACCTCCTGCCCCCAGCCCCCATTCAACATGGGGCACTCCACCTTCAGGAGCCTCCAACTAACACTGGTCAGGGTGACTTGGGCAAATTACTTAACCTCACCGAACCTCTCATTTGTAAGAATGTAATAAATACACCTACTCTAAGAGTCTTGCCAATCAAGTACAATGAGGTAGGTTAGGGCCAATAGCCAGTCTGTTCTCTCCTCCTCGATCCCTTCACGTCTCTCCATCTGCCAGCCACTCAGGCTTCCTTTGTTCTCTAACCTCTCGCCATCTCTCTAGTAATGCTTCTTCTAGAATTGTCCTTTGCACTTAGAAAGTACATCTCCCCTGTTTCTTGCTTGCTTTTTACACTATCTTTGATTCTCAAGGCTGTGTTTCAATTTCAAAACGTTAGATGTAAAGTGAGAAACGCAGCAGGTCTTCGCGGTATTGGGGCTACATATCCCCGACTCAGTTCTCGATCATGTGAATGGCTGACTGCAGGTTTTACTTTGTATTTTGGTGTAGACGCAGTTTCAGTCCCTGCTCTCCCTGGCTCCACTCTCCGTGCCTCCACCTCCCTGCCCTGGCATTCTCTCTCCAGGCTTTATTCTCTCTTGCAGAAACTTTCCAGGATAGCTGGCTGGGTTAGAAGACTGAGCTAAGGGGTAGGAGGAGGGAGAGCGAGGCAGGTGGCAGGCGGAGCACATTAGGGGCTAAAGAAGGAGCAGGAATGATCAGATGGAGCAACAGGTGATAATAGCGGGCAAGACCTGGGATGGGGGCGGGAATGGCATGGGGAAGAAGGTTAAGGGGAGGGCTAAGGGAAGGTGGAGTCAGATGGGGGATCAAAGTCATTCCCCAGAGGGGAAAGCATTCTTTTTTTTTTTTTTTTTAAAGATTTTATTTATTTGAGAGAGAGAGAATGAGAGACAGAGAGCATGAGAGGGAAGAGGGCAGAGGGAGAAGCAGACCCCCTGCTGAGCAGTGAGCCCGATGCGGGACTCCATCCCAGGACTCCAGGATCATGACCTGAGCCGAAGGCAGTCGCTTAACCAACTGAGCCACCCAGGCGCCCGAGGGGAAAGCATTCTTACCAGTTGAACTAGAACAACAAAAAAAGGCCAGGACTAAGTTTCTGATTCGCTTGGAGGTGGACAGAAGATAAAGTGGGGGTGCGTGGGTGGGTGTCACTGAACTTCTCTATCCACCCCCCCCCATCAATTTCATGCTCTTCCACTTCCACGATGGGGAGCCTGAGATCCAGGCTTGCCGGAATGAGGGAGCTTCTGGGGTGGGGTAGACAATGGACGCCCCCCTCCCCAGAGGGACAGCCAGACGGGGTTCTCCGTGGAACGCACAACTATAACGTAGGGGCGACGAAGAGCGCGAGTCGGGAGTGGACGCGCACCCAGCCCCGCCGGGCGGGCGCGGAGAGGGCAGGGCAGGGCCAGGCTGCGATTCTTACCGCGCGCGCAGGAGCCGAGGCGCAGGCTGAGGAGCACCGCCAGCAGCACTACCAGGCGCGGCAGCATCCTGGGCACGCCGCATCCTCCGGGGCCGGGGCCGGAGCCGGAGCCGAAGCCGAAGCCGAAGCCGAAGCCGGAGCAGGAGCCAGGCTGCGTGCCTCCAGCCGCGGCTCGGCGGCTCTGCCTCTGAAAGCCGGGCTGGCGGGCAGGCCCGCCCACGCTTCGCGGGGCTGACGTCAGGGGGCGGGGCCCCGAGAAGCCCCGCCCCCGAGGCTGAGCGTCCGCATGCGGGTGCGGGGCCGGGTGCCCACTGCCCAGCGCTGGCCACCCCGCCCCGCGGATGGGGAGGATGCAGGGACCCAGCGGGCGCCGGGCCGTCACGGGCCGGGGGCGGGGTTCTGACCAACCCTTCCCTCCCGGCTTCCAAGGCCCCCACGCTGTGATCTCGTCAAAGAGGCCTGGGCAGGTGGGGTGGCGGTGGTGCAGAAGGTGGGGTGCGGGTGTCAGAGCTGGTTTTGCCCGACGAATAGGGTTGGGATTGGAGCTGTGGCCAAGGCCCGCCGCTAGCTCGGAGTTGGGGAAGGAGATTGCCCCAGGCGCTCAGGGAACATTGCTAGGACACGTGTGTGACTCTTGGTGTTGCCCTAGTACCTCGGTGTAGGACTCTGAGCCAAACTAACGGTAGAATAGGCAGTCCCATCTCTGACTTAATAGTTTTGGAAGGGTGCCCACAACCTCCCTCAGCTCCTTTTGGTTTCCCTCGCTTGCCTGAAATCTCACATTTAGAACTATTTCCATGTTCCCCCCCCCCCCGCCGCTGGGTAATAGCATTCTTAGAGAACTGGGTAGCTTATCATCGGTTACTTACGCTTCGATATCACTTGACTCATCTGAGATTTCACTCCAGGTGCACCGAAGATGTGGGAGCATGGGAGACAAGCTCTGTCTGCTTCACTCTGCTTGCACCATGACACCTGCTTCAGAGTATGTGCGAGTATTGAGGAGGGGCTCCTATTGGGGGTAGGAAGGTCTACTTTAGGACTAGGAAGACCTCACTTTTTGATGATGATGAGCGAAGGTCAGGGATGCCCCAGCTCCGTAGATAGTGGAGAGTGGTATACGCAGGCCCAACAGGACACAGGGTCAGTCGGAGCCCCCCTAAGGGGACAGCTCTTGTTGCCACACCCTCTGATCAGCTGGGAGAAAGAGTTCCAGGGTTTGTAATGTGTGAGAATGTTTTCTGCACTCTCTGTTGCTCAACTGAAAGATTAAGAGTGTGGCCAATTGCTCAGAGGTATCCAGGCATGACCCAAGGGGTGGGGCCGCCTTTTGAGATGACTTCTCAGTTCCTATTGACCTTTTGAAGGAGGAGGACACTGTGCAGTTTCTTGCTGAACTTGCCTTTACGCTTTACTTTCTTTTTTTTGTTGTTGGGTTATAAGAGTTTAAAAGTCTTACCCCCTTGCCATTTTGAAGGAGGGTCAGATTTCTTAATTCACTCATGTGACAAACATTTTCTGTACACTCTGTTTGGGCCAGATACTGTGTTAAAGCTGAGGATAAAATGGTGACCAGAACAAGGTCCCTTCCCCCAAGAAATTTACAATTTAGCTAGAGACAGAAAGTAAAGAGAGATTTTCATATGCTGTGAGGAGTGTGCTGGGAAGGGAAGTACACACTAGCGTGGGGACACAGGAAGCAGGCACTCGACCCCAACGGGGGTAGATGATAGAGAAGGCTTCTTGGAAGAGGTGACATCCAAGCTGATAGGGATGAGTGAGAGGTAGTGGGGTGATGAGTGGAGAGGAAGGGGGTCCCAGACAGAAGTATATACTTAGAGATTGGGGAACATGGCACTTTTGAAAAACCTTGTCAAGTGCATAAATTAGTCTTCCTGGTTTAAGATAAGAACGTCACAATGGCTAGTTAATGTTTTGTTCAGGCAGAGCCTGAGTTTGAATATAGGCTGTCCTCATGTAGCTTGCTGCTTCATAGAAAGCACTCAGAACTGGAATTATGTCCAACATATGATTGTGATACCTTTTGTAAAAAAGAAATTCGTATGTTTGCTTTGGTTTGTATTCAGTAATGTATTCTCCGTGTTCTAAAAAGTCCACACTAAGGTTCAAAGATTTCTGGTATTCGTAACAGCTATGTTTCCTGCTTGCCTTGCAGTTAGGTGGAATGTGTGACGGGGTTTTAACCTATGTAAAGTTGAATTGATGGGTGCTACTTCCCGGCCTGGCCTCTAACTCTGTCTTTGTTATTCTGTGAGCCAGGTGGTAGGGGTCCAGTGGAGGACTCCAAGGGGATGGAAGGAGCCTGGGTCCCCGAATCACCTCTTGGAGGGCAGCTATTCAGTAAAGACACCCAATCTGTGTGAGCCTGTGACTTGAGAGAGGAGTGAACTCTTGTTGTATCTAGTTACTGAGATTTGGGAAGTTTTGTTATACCAGCTAATGTTAGGTATCCCGATGAAGGTGCCAACATTGTCTCTCTCTCTCCCTCTCTCTCTTTTTTTTTAAGATTCTATTTATTTATTTACTTGTCAGAGAGAGAGACAGTACAAGCAGGGGGAGCAGCAGAGGGAGAGGGAGAAGCAGGCCCCCTGCTGAGCAGGGAGCCAGACGCAGGGCTTGAACCCAGGACCCTGAGATCATGACCCCAGCTGAAGGCAGGCACTCAACTGACTGAGCCACCCGGGTGTCCCAACATTGTCCCATTTAATCCTTGTTACCACCCCCATGAGATTGGCTTTGTTATCAGTGTTTCACAGATGGAGCGGTGAGGTCAGAGACTAAGTCGCTTGTCGGCATCACTCAGTGGGTGAGTGGCAGAGCTAAGATTACAGCCCAGATCCCTGACTCCAGAACTCATGCTTTCACCACCATATAAACAATGCCCCTTCCCATCTTGGAAGAGCTCTTGGAAGAGACAAATGTGTAGTGAATTGGGCAGGGGGTGGGGCAGGGGGAGGAAGAACAGCTCAGGGCTGAGTGTTGGGGGTGGAGGGAATATGGTGAACCCCAGGAAAACTGTGGGCGGAGCTGGGTAGACAGCTTTGTCCCCATGGCCACACTGGGAAATTTTTAGGGCAAATTTTGAGCTCTGGATGGTTGCATTGTCTCATTTTCACTTTACTTCATCTTGGTCCTCAGGATGATGCTTCTAAACAGGTACCGCCCCCCGGGGGGTGGGTAGGGTGGACTTCTGGGAGGGTAGGAAGTCCATGCTCAATTGTGGTAACAGGCACACTTGTAGTTTCTGTCCCCGAACTGGTGATTGGGGAAGTTCCAGGCCTTGTGATCACTGTGTCAGAGCTACACATAACGGGGAAAGAGTCCTAGACGGAACTGACCCCAAGAAGGAGACAGAGAGAAGGAGACTGCCTGAAGACACTTGGCAGTCATTGGATCAAGGAGAACCATAGATGGAAGGTGAGGGGGCCACCAGAGGCCAGCCCCAACTCCAGGGGGAGCCTTCTGGCTGTTGTCTACAGAACCTAATTAATGTCCATCTCCCTTCATTGTCGGCCTGACTCCCTCCTGGCTGAACATAAAAGAGCTCAGAAGGGACGGAACCCCCTTCTCTGAATCCCCCTCTCTCATAGGTTTAGATGGTGACACAGTCGGGAAGAGGGAGTTGTTTGAATTTCAACTGGGTGGGCGATAGGCATCCCTGAAGGGTTTGGGACAGGAGAGCAAAATGGCAGGTTTGCGTTTTATTTTTTTATTTTTTTAAGATTTTATTTATTTATTTGACAGAAAGACACAGCGAGAGAGGGAACACAAGCAGGGGGAATGGGAGAGGGAGAAGCAGGCCTCCCGCCGAGCAGGGAGCCCGATGATGCGGGGCTCGATCCCAGGACCCCGGGATCATGACCTGAGCCGAAGGCAGATGCCCAATGACTGAGCCACCCAGGCACCCCCAGGTTTGCGTTTTAAATAGAAGAGGAAACTCAGGGCATGGAGGTGACTAGCTGAGGCGAGATTTGCTAGTTAATGGCAGAATCCAAACCCTGGCCTCTAGATTGAAGTTCAGCTCTCTTTGCTGGACCTTCCACAGCCGTGAAGCTTGTGGAACTATGAAGACTATGGGAGGGTGTCTTGCCTATCAGCCTAGAGGAAAGAGGAAGAAATTTTGAGTTCCCAGGTGAAGAACCTCCCCAGCTAATTCCCTTGAATCAGCGAAGTTGGAGCAGCGTGGATGTCCAGGGCTTGGCCCAAGACGAGGGACACGCACTTATTTTATTTTGACATGACTAAGGGGGTCCACTCAGGACAGAGGGAGGCTCCCACCTAAAGACAAATCTTAATTATCACTTCGTGTTGTAAAAACTGCTTGTCATCTCTTGCATTACAGGTAGCTTCAAGTATTAATTTTACTTTTTTTTCTCCAAGTTTTTCTTTAAGTTCCAGTTAGTTAGCATACGGTGTAATATTAGTTTCAGGTGTAGGATTCAGTGATTCATCACTTCCATACAACACCCGGTGCACCAAGCCGCAAGTGCCCTTCTGCACGCAACCCCCTACCCACTGCCCCTCCGGCAAACCTCAGTTTGTAGTTTCGAGTATTGAAAAGTGGAGCTCTGTGGGCAGCCAGTGCTGGCTGGGAAGACCTACGCCAGGGGCTCAAAGTCCTAGTTGTCAGTTGTCATCTGTGACTGGGTTTCAGGTCTCAGGTTTCTTAGCTGTGAAATGAGGATGACACCCCTTCATCGAGTTGCCGGTAGGAATAATGTAAGCAAGCGTTTGTGAAGTACCCTCGGCTAGGCGCTGTGGGGTATAAAAATTAGTCACTGTCCTTATCGGGTGCATGGACTTTCAGGGGGTTTAAACCTGTAATAAATAACTCTGATAGAATATCAGAAGGACCCGCTCAAATAGAAAGTATTCCGTCAACTCCAAGGTGTAATACACATGCAGGATATTGCTACCCTTGTTATTTATTTATTCTTTTGGATCAGGTCTCCTGTTTGTTCACTGCCAGGCCAAGCATACGTGGATCAGCTCACAACCACAAACCTGCTCCTCCTGTCCCTCACAGGTTGAGATTCTGATGCCCCATAGAATCCTGGACTCCTTGTGTGGAGGTCAATTCATCCATCCTCCTGCTTCTGTCCCAGGAAACAAGGCCTTTCCCCTTTCACAGAATTCACAACAAGTACAAGA